GGCGGAACGGTATTGTCAAAGAGCCTTTTGTATGTTGTGTATGCACAAGAGAGAGACCAAAGCCCTACCTACCTACCTTTCTTCTTATTCGTTGGTAACGTTAATATAATCTTTCGGAATATAACTTTAAAAGGCTTAATCACGCGATCAAGTGAAGTTTTAAAGCTGCATTTTAAATGGAACTCTATTAATAGCAATATTAAACAGAGCTTACGTAAATATTATCATTTTGTGCGTGTATCGGTAGTACTCCGCGGAACATTCTTTCGCCATTAGAAAGATGCCATGTATCTTTCTTACCCATAGCCATGGTGCATGTGGCAACTGTATACTGGAGGAACCATAAAGCATACTGTTCTTTTTTTAATTGATAAAGTCAACTTTTACCCGACTTTTAATACTAAATAAACGTTTCAAAGCATGACGCATGCCAGTTTACAGCTGAAATTTCAAAACTAATCGTGTTATACTCGAAAAAATATTAGGCAAGCGGCAAATTGTCTATTCTCTGACAATAGCTCACAATTAACCTACACATGGCGCTAACCACCTTACCACATAAAAAAGAAGTCTACTAGAGCATCTTTAAAAAATTCTGATCTCTGTAAAATCATAACGTTATTCAACCTAGCGTAAAATTAATTAAAAACCGACAATATGTTAAGTAAACATTCCAGACTGTTGAAGAGTTTTGCTGCCGCTACGCAGTCACTCTAAACAACGACAAAGTTCAGTTTACCTCGTTAAACAAACAATTTTTACGTTTCATATTTACCGGGACTCTTAACTTTTACTAATATATAGGAGGAAACTGCAAAAAGTTGATAAAGTTTCATAATAAACTAATTCAATACCTAATTTCAAAGCAGCCAAAAAAAAATTAAACAGCATCAGTATTTCAAAAGCCATTTATAGATCCGACAGATTACTATACTGCCAAATCTGATCAGTGATATCTTTCACAGTATTTCTATCGTCTCTTTAAAAATAGTATCACCTTTACTATTATTAATAGACTCTCGGTAAATTCAGTGAACGTGATTAGCGATAGCGTTTTATTCCTATTCTGTGTAAAAAATTGGCGAGCAAAATTGGCTTACAATTTTGGCGTGCAACTGGTCACCGCCATTAATTTTACAGTTTTATTGTTTGGGTATACATACTCACGTCGCGCAACGTAAGTTGTGTCGGAATAAACCTGGAAATCGAAACAGCGATGATTTCATCTCAATCTAGTCACTTAATTTCGCAGAGCTGTGGAGCAAGCAAGCAGTGCAGTGAGGTAGTCAACATTATTCCACGTTACCATGTTCTCTCTGGAGTTCTACAGCTTATTTTCTTACACGCCCATATATGTAAATAATTCGAAATTAGTGATTATTTTAATTTAGTCAAATTCAGTTGTTTATTATTTTGCACCTATGACCCTACAACAATTTTGGTGTAAAAAATAAATTTAAATTTTATGCTAGGTCAACCGCTTCGTCAAGCCCTCAAGCCGGTTGCAACTTTTAATGTGACGAGGTGGCAAACGAGCTAGCGTTTCACCTGATATTATGTGATAACCGCCATCCGTGGACATTTGCAACACCCGTAGGATTGCGATGCCATGTTTTAAAGTGGGCCTCGGTTACCTGACTCACCATAGGAAATTCAGAAGTATTTCAGAATATATTGTATAGAATTCACTTCACGCCGGCCTTCTGTGAGATCGTGGTACTTATCTTTTTACTTATCGTTTTGACTCTCTTCATTACAATCGCGGAAACGTCTGTGTATTATTTTAGTTTTAGGTAGTGATTAATTATTTAATATTTTAAATCCAATTTTATTGTGTAACTGCATTACATATTTCTAGCTTGGTAAAAAAGTAATGAAGAACCTCTTTGCTCCTTGCTCTCATTTCGATTTACTTGATAGTCGCTAACGACTGCAATAAGACAGATGGCAAAGTTTATACTTAAGAAGAACTTAACATCTCACAACTTATCTCAATAAGAAAGTTTAACCACTATAATTGCACAAACTGTACTTATCCTTATTAAAACTGAGGAGCTAAAATCTTTTGACCTATATAAGGCATCCTGTAAGAAAATTCGAAAATTTAAAGTTTAGTGAGTTACAAATTTGAAGTTGATTTTTTTTTTTATTAAAATTGTTTTATGTCCTCCGATATTAACCAACGCTAAAAATTCTTGAATGAAAAACATCGCTAGTCCCTATATCAAAAACTAGAAACGAAGTTAGGCCGCTTGGGACGATACATAAAACTTTAGACTATGACTTTGGCCGGTTGGAATACGGAACGTAATTTACATGTTAACCGCTATATCGAATTTTACCCCCTGGATGGAATTTTTAATTTTAAAAATCATTCCAACTTGATGCTATACCATCTTTATCACACAACTTCGGTCTTACAACAATCTTACATGATCCAACTTACTTACTAGGATCTCTTATAAAGCTTTGATGACTTCGTGGCGCAGTTGCCAAGGTATTGGCTTCGACGTTGGGGGTCGTGGGTTCGATTCCCACCCGGGACAACTATTTGTGTGACCCACAGAAAAAATTGAATGAACGTTTACAGTTTTTCCAAATCTGAGTGTACTCTGTGTTCGTTTGTGAAAGCTTTAGTTTCCTGTTCTCAATACTTATTTAACAATATCTATTTTCAAGACACTACCACTTCTTGCAATAACTATAGCGTGGAAGGGATTGGGTAGTAAGTCCCAACGATCACTGTGACCTAGAAAGATATATTGTAGTCTTCCCCTCCGAAACATTACCCCTAGACTAACATTATCCAATGCTGTAAGGACGATTTACATACGTAAATTTCACTTGGACAAACACTGAGCCTAATCAAATTACCTGTGGATGACACAAATAGTTGTCTCGTGCCGAAATCTAACCCACAGCCCCGGCACCGGAGCCAGTACTTTGGCACCTACACCACTGAGACGCCAAAAATCTACTGTCTTTAATTTCATATTCTTGACGTCAACGGTTTCGCCTGCTTCTGAGGAAGATGTAGATGAAAGATGACGAGAGATATTAAGGCACCATAGCTCCAATATGGTCAGTTCAAATAAATTAAAATTTTTCGAGGATAAAAAGTAATCAATGTTGCACTTCACCCTAGACTAAGAGGTTCTATGACCTCTTTTGCTATCGGCGTGTATCATAGAATCTCTGTTCATTTCTTCTTTCATACTTTCTATTCATACTACGGAATAGTCGAACAAACCATCGAACACACTCGAACAAAAGGAGAAATGTAGAAAATTTCTAAAAGGTGCTGAACTATCGATATTTTGCAGTTCGTGCAAAACACAACAGGATCTAAAACATCAGCGATCATTTTGGCACATAAAATTTTTCCACGAGATATATTTGCAGTTACATAAATTGTTATTACACAATATTGTATTGAAAATCACTTGTTGAATGCAATTCTGTTGTGGTGGTAAATGCACCTATATGCTTGTTTTTCTTATATTGTCGTTATCGTATACACATTTTAATAAAACTAATTTACGTAGTTGTGAAAGTTTTATCCGTTAAATTCAAAAATCTGGGTATAAGAAATTAAAGTTAAGAGTATCTGCGAAATTATTTGTTATGTAATAATTAAACCATTTTATTTGTATTGGAGGTGATTGAAGGAGGAAGGGATTGAAGCCATGCTGTGACCTAAGAGAACTCTGGTATAAGGTATTCGTAATTTTGTATGTTACCTACAGAGTTAGTTAACAGGTTGCCAACAGGTTGGTGTTGTTTATGTGTCTACTACGCAAATGTCGCAGCAAATTATTGTCCATGGAAAACAGTAATCGTTAAAATACACATTAATAAATATAAAACAATGAATTTAGATTTAAAAATCAAACCATAAGTCATTGAAATGTGTTCTTTTTACTAACCCTAATTTAATTTTATTTCCTGTTTTTTTATTGAGCTCTTATTCCACTATATACCTACGCTCTAAATCGGTAAACAAAAATTATTATAAATTAATACCGGATGTAATCGTATTACACTAAGAAAATAAAATTTCATATGACGAAGTTATAAACCGGAGTACATTTTTCCAACTGTCTAAAGACATTTTACAGTAAATGAGAAGACAATATTTTTTTTACTTACAAAATGTAGGCAGGGCAGTAGCTCAGCACAACTTAATAAAGATACTTTACTAGAAAATGCAGTTTAAAGTAAGTGCCTCCGACCGCTATGATTTTTACTAACTTACTTCGACGGTATTTTTAAAAGATAATTTTGTTATTCCATCAGATTAGATATATTGCTAGGCCCGGCAATAATGTTCACGGAAGAAAGTATATATCTTAAAAATAAGTAGTTTAGTCTGTCAATAAATAGCTTGAATATACGGATGTGGTCCATACAACCCTAAATTAAATACGTATTTATATTGGCACGTGGAATAAAAATTCAATTTTAGTACGAAATTTTTAACTACTTATTTTTTTATTTTGCTAATATCAATCAAAATGATGCTACGAAGTCTTCGATTTGCTTTTTGGATGCTTTGTGGTGATATCCCTTTATTCAATTACGGCCTCTTACATAAAACATACCCTGAAAACGAAATAGAAACAACACGCACCGATATAAATCAGAGTTATCTATATTAAGTTCATAAAATAGAAAACACACGCAACTCGGGTCCCGCGTGTCGGCCGGTCAGCACACATTACGTTTTATTCCTTGACGGGACAAATGATCCCATTTGCGCTCGAACTCGTGACTTTACGTAACTACGTGACAATGTATAGACATACTTACTTTGGATTCTTGTCTGGCCTTTGACAAATATTTTGCGCGGTAGAGACAAAACAACAGTAAACTTTGACATTTTATGTGGATACAATTTTTTGTTTCAAATATGACATTCTTGATTCCCTGCGAAGATACACGAGTAGCTTCATGCAACGAAGAGTAAACACAATCTTTGCTTAAACAAAGCTTTGAAACTAGCTTATTCTAGAACTTACCAGAGTGCTGTTGCTATAGAGCGTGTCGTAGGATTCTGCTTTTGATGCGACGTTCCGCAGCTTGCAAGGCTTCTTCAACGGAGGCGGTGGCTGGCCGTGCTTGTGCGACGGTGAGGCCTGCTGGTTGTCACCACTAACAGCCCCAACGTGGTTGGAGTTCGATTTATTCTCCTTCTCTTTCACCAGCTTGCTATTGTGCACCAGGTTGTTCTTTGTAAAGTTCCCGATCTGCTCGAACATGCTCGTCAAGTGCTGCGACATCATTTTGAATTCTTTCTTCCTCTATCTTCTTTCTCAGCCGAATTCAAATATGCGATGTTGCATTTTATGATTCGACAGACCTTGCAAACATGTTTTGGCTTTTACACTTTCTACTGATAATTCACTTATATAACTGCTTAGAAGTACTTATTGTGAAAGTAACGCTCAATTAAATTGAAAATGTTTCGATGGATATTCGTCTTGTTCATGTTCAGATTATTATGTTTTCATATAGACGCTTTAACGAACGTTGTTAACTTTATAAACTGTCATTTACCATGAACTTGCCTCCGTACGAGGTGCCGTCCAAACGGAGGCAATGCCATAGCCAAGAAATAGATACAATAACATAAGCAGTTGATGATGATGATTTGTCTGATTAGTGAGGCGCTATCAAAGTAACGCAACGCGACCCACCTAGGCTAGTGTCAATCGATCGGCAGTAATCACTTTGCTCCAGTCGTTTCTTCATGAAGTGATCAGCTTGCTTCAACGATTAAAATCGTATGATAAAAAAAAACTTCTTTAACTGAAACCCGCTTATCTTTTCACCTTTAACTTTTCTGTATTGTGTGTGTGCTGTGTATCTGTGTGTCTCTGCCTAAGGTAGGGGGTAAACATTACGATGTGCCTAAGGCCTTGGGGGTAAACATTACGCGTCGTACTGTTACAGGGTCGGAGTGTGAAACAATGACGTCATAAACAACGATACTGTCACGCGAATCCGGCGCGACTTGTCTCAACAAGAGAACAGGGCCGATGGCTAGAGCTAGCTTCTTCGAAAGTTTCAGAAATTTGAAAACATTCTTATGATATATACTATTGTTATTTCTATAACATTCTTTCGGTTACTTTGCGACCTGTCACTCATATACACGTCAACATCATTACGTTTTTTTTTTTAATAATAATTTAGTTAGTGTTTAAATTAAAACCATTAAACTTTACTACTGTCCAAAATTTTTTTAGAGTAGTAAAGTTTGATATATGAATTAAATAACTCTGAAATATTTGAACCTAAACACAATTAAGTTCTTAAGCGTAATAAATCTTTCGAGATAACATTTTCAGAACTGCTAGACACTAATATATGAATACTGGAACATCTGCGTGCCGTCAGTATGGGGTGAATATACATATATGTTAGTAAAATGAGAAGTTTCCAGCACTCTGATGAAGTAAATTTACTGACGTACTCGCTTTACAAACAGGTTAAGATTATCTCTTTCTTAAATTCTCACATTTCATTAATTTTGACATGGAATAAATATAAATTCCATTAATATTACCAAACCATCTTTCAAATGATAATATTGAAATTAAATTTACTTAATAGGATATACTGTCGGCACGATTGTTAAGAGCACACTAAAATTAGCTTATTATTGTTCTTAATTGGCAGGCACTAAATACTTGCTCAATGACTTAAGCCAATAATCAATAGCTTCATTAGAGCAGCGGTTAAACTTTAACATCGGCGAATGGCTGTAGATCAATTTCCAATAATAACAAGAATATCTTATTCCAACAAAATTATTGTTTCACATTTATTTACAAAAAAAATTTGAGCTAGGCTTGCCTTACATAGCCATTAGATATTAAGATGAGTTATACATCTACATTATTAAAATCTTAGCGTACTAACTACAGTTTGTTGTGGTTTATTTCAGTTAAGTTAGTAACTTAGGAGTTTGCAAGTTTGTTTGCATGGGCAAATGAAACTTTCCGTGCATGATTGTTTTATTATTATATGGGATATTGTTTTTAAATTTTAATTATTGACGAAACTTATCTCAAAGAGTTTTAGATTGTTTAAAAAAGTATAACCACTCCTAATGCACACTATCCGAACAGGGAATATGGCAATATATAAAAGGGCATAAATCTAATTTTTATTAACTGAACGATAATTTCAATAACACAACACAACACTTTCAACACTAATTATCGAAATAAATGACCGTAAAGAACAAATATCGGTGCACCGTAAATAATTATTTCCCAGCGCCGCATAACAATGCCTGCAATAAATCATATCCGAGAAGATCGAATAGAACAATCCCTCCTTGCCCAACGTCTCGTGCCTTATAAAATTACAAGCGCACTCCCCGCTAGGATCCAAAGCCTATGAAGGAAATTTCATCTCGAAAAAAATAATAATAACAAGGCGTTATTTTGAGAGCCAGCGTTTTGACAAAACAAAGCCTTTCCAATAATAGGCCTCGAAGTTCCCACAAAGGAAACAGATCCGGGGGTAAACTTTCCGCTTATCTTGTCCAAGTTTCGGGCAATGACACTTATCCACTTTCACTCCACGATCGCCGGACACGAATTTCTATTATGAAACATGTAAGTTGGGGAGATTTTACAAATAATAACATTTGGACGCATTTATTGTTGTAAAGATAATCGTTCCTCGTCAGGCACAAAAGTGTCTCACAAAACTCTGGGAAAATTGTTTCACGCTTTATTTTCTTTTGTTTTAGTTGCTTTTATTTAGCAAATAAATAGGGAATTTAATTTTTTTATAATCAACTAGCGGACCCAACAGACTTTATCCTGAACAAACGACTTAAATCCGACAACAAGTTATAAATAAAAAATTCAAAAAAACATTCTAGTGGACTGAGTTGTGAATCTAAACCATTCTCGAGTCCACATGACAATGAAAAAAAAAACATTAAAAGCAGTCCAGCCGTTTAGGAGGAGTTCTGTAACATATACACGTACAGAAGAATTATATATATAAAAGATAATCAATAATAGATAACCGACTATGTTGCATAATAATTAAATAATTAATGTTAACAAAGACAGGGTAAACGGCTCAGTGCGAAGCCACGTCTCTCGTTTATCTGCATAATATTGTTTTGTCATATTTCATAAATATGCAGCTTGTTTTCTTCCACAACTGAGTAAGGGTATGAATTAAAGTTGCTTTAAGTAACGTTTCTCCCATATCAAATAAAATTTGAGAAATATGTAAAGATTAATAATTGAAAAAAGTATAAAGACAAGCAAGAAGGTAATCTACAAAGCGCCCTGGTACACCAAATAGAGTCTAGAGTATAAACGTTGCTACCAATTTACCTAAATCTCCACACAAGTCAACTGCAGCGATGTACCATAATATCAAATCCGTCCAATTCAGCCACGTGTGTATTGAAGTGGCTTAACTCCTTTCAGGGAGCAACATCGCAACTGTAATTGCTTCAGAGTAAATTAAACGTCATCAGGTCTGGGCGCGCGTTTATGTAACGGACACCTCATCATAAAGTTCCCTTTGATAGCCTTTCTTTTCGTGTACGGTTCTCTACGAAATAATGAATTCATCGTCGGTCGTGTCATCGCCAATCGGAAGGAGTGGGGACGCGCGTTTCGTGATATTCAATAGCTCCTATTGTGCGACATTCCAATTTATTCGGGTTTTTTTTCTCTCAAGTCACTCACAGCCGATCGTCGTACGGCAGACGAATCAACGTCCCAATATCCCCAATTTGAGAAAGGTCTATCTCATTTGCCCAATTACCAGTCCATCCCATTTGTCTCCAGCTAAGTATCATCCCTAAAACACGGCCTTTTTGTTGGTATGAACGGATGGTCTTTAAAGAAAGATCGTAGATGCGTCCTTAGATTTTACGGAAAAAGCTTATTTATCAAACAAAGAAATATATTTCAAATGAATATAGAATTTATCGGAAAGTTGTGTGAAAAATCACGTGGCCCTATAGTTTTCTGAGTATAATACGGAGTCGAATTAATCGAAATAGAGAAAATTCGAAATCCCAAAGCCAATGAACAAAGTTTTAAGTATAAATATTGTTGTTTGTTTATTGGAAATATTTGTATTTTTAATAGTTGAAAAGTTAGAACTTTCAAGCTTATACGTAAGCAAAATTATTGAGTTTATAAACCAGTAGTAATACTCTTCCGGATAAAACAAAGTTTGTATAAAATAGTATTGCAAAACAGTTATTTCATTTAATTTTTTTATAACATAAAATAAGACATCAACAAGTCCACGCTGATATTGCAATAGTTTGAGGTGATTTAATAAATTTTTCCAAATGTGTTTTATATGTTTACTGTTTTTAAACTTTCATCTATTTGTTTTTTTTTTTTTCTAACTTTAGTACAGTAAAGTTAAAGTTAAATTTTAGTGAATATTTTATGACATCAACGCTGTAATTCAATTAAATAAATAATTAATAAATAAACTTAAAAAACTTAAAACTTCCTATTTCGTCGTACCATAAATAAATTAAATATTAATGAAATTAATTTTTTTCATTTCATATTTGTGCAAATGACACAACTTTGTTTAGAACTTAATAACTTGGTTCAAAATCTCTTAATTAAACATCACTGACAATCCACGTCCGTCCATTCCGAATTTATAGGCATTACGTATGGCGCTGTTCACAGCTCGATATGTTTGCATACATATATGCAGATTCCCTCGGAGCAAACTGGAGAGGGAACCGTACTAAAATCCAAGAACCCCAGCTCAGGAGTACGTGCCGTGGGTAACCATTCTCACATTCAAGATTAGATCCGTTCCCAACTGAATTGTTGAGAAATAAAACGTATATTCAGCACGCTTTTCTTCTATTTAGAAACAAATGGAAAGGAGTTTAACGAAGCCCGCAAATAATCAACTACTTTGAGGGAAATGGTTTGCCGCCTCTAGTAATTTCTTGAATTAAATAGGAGTGGGTGGAAAAAACTATTCGAGGAACAGGTCGTTTCGTCGCTCGTCCACATTTATTAAATTTTTCAATTCACTGTGACTTTGAACCCCATGGGCGTGGACGAATGAACTTACGGTGTAGCGAATTTCTTACATTGTTCTATTCAAAAGTATCTCAAGCATAAGTTGGTACTTCACAACACGGCAATGAACATCTGTGTCCGTTTTATAACGAAGAAATATTAGTCACGATTATGGATGTATTACATTCGGTGAAAAAAAACATCACAATTTTAATATTTTACGAACAACCCGGAATTAATAGAAATTCAACATTACGCTTTATAAATAATGCTTTTCAGCTATCTCATAAATTTGACACTAACCAACAACAAACTGTCTAATTTTTTACCTCCTGTGTACAAACAAGTATTTCATTACAAACGTTAGTCTTTATTCAGTCGGGTTTAGAATTTTGTCTGCCCTTGAGAAATGGTTAGTCCTAAGACCAAGCGCATGTATCCATGCATTAGAAAATAGTCTAAGGCTACTGTTGACCCCCGAATCCGAACTTTGCATAGTAATGCAAACAGAGCAGATTAAAGGCACGGCACCGCACGGAAGTGGATTCGTCGGATTTGCTCCGTGAGAGCACAATCCCTATCAGACTAAAAACTTGCGCAGTTTATGACCTAAAATCGTGCTGCGAGAATTATAGAGGCATGCCTACACTCTGTTACTAAGAAATTTATGCGTTAAGACAATGCTTTTAAATATATATGCTTATAGATCCTTAAATTGAAATGTTTACACAATATACATTGTTTTGCATAAAAATAGAATAAATGCACTAATTATGAAATACAATATGAGAAATTTCACAAAAAAAGTTTCGCACTCAAATCCATGTTTCACATTTTTACTGTCACGTATTTCTGTACTTCTGGATGGACTTGGCACTTATCGTATAACTTTTTTTCTAGCGAAGGATCGAAAGAATGTTACGAACTTCCACTATTCTCGCTTTCCCTTAATGTCGCAAATATAGAAGAACTTTATGAAGTTAAAATAATCAAACATTTTGGAAATTCATTCCAACCATTCCACCAAGTACTTCATTTATGCCAAACGAATTATTAAATATTGATAAGCCTGCATTAACAAAATTAAACATAAATCACATTCAGCCTTTCATTCATTCACATATTGATATTTAAATCTTCTGAACAATCCCGGACATTGAATTAATACAAAACACGACCATTTGGGTTAAATTTAAAGTTTTGAAATTGCTCTACATTTGGAAACTTATTTGAGACAAACTTTCAGACAAACTGACGGATAAAACTCAAAAAAGATCCTTTGTGTGATCAACGCATGAATAACAGTTTTTTCTTAAATTTTGTCATTTATAAATGAAACTAATTTTACGGATTTATCGCGTTTATTTTTTATTTTTTTTTTACCACCGAACCATAGACATCTGCTACACGTTTATGGTCACGGGACATTTGCATGAAGCTGTAAACCTTTTTGAAACGTCGGGAACTAAAATTAAAAATAAACGCGATAAATCCGGAAAATTAGTTTCATTTTCATTTATAATGTGTAATCACGTAAATACAAGAAATTATTTTGTCATTTAGTTTGAAATCAGAATGATGCACGAATGGGTTGTTTCATTCAGGAAAATACCACGGCCTCACAGAAAACCGGTATAAAGTAGAAGTATTATACCTTTTACATCTGTGTACCTTTCGTCTGGTACTTTTATTTGACCAAAATACTTTTAACAGCCAGCTAAACATTCTTTAAAATCAACGACGGTGTTGCCTATAAAATCCATACCATAAATGTACAGGCCATTAATAAATCAGACAAAAACCAGTAAGTAAAGAAACAACATAGATATATCTCCCCCTGCTAGGCAAGGACTTCTCTGTACAGAGGGTATTAGAGCTTAATCCACCACGTGACCCCGGATTTGCGGTGTTTGCTTATCTTCGAAAAATTTTTTGCTATTATTTCGAAAATATGCTTGTTTCCTCATGATGTTTTCCTTCACCGCCGAGAATGTGATAAGTCAACAATTAAAATTGTAATCAACAATTAATTTGGTGCCGGCATCGAGGTTAATTGAACGTAAGTTGTTCGTGTATACTGAATGAATATGAAGCTATCACGAGCTATACCGAGCTATCACGCTTCGAAATATTCAGTTAAAATCTAAAACGCATGAGACAAAATAACCGTTATGTCATTAAAGGAAATTTTAACATTTTTAAATGGGGCTGTAATACATGTTCCCCTGTATAATGCTGATATTTAAGAATAGAATTTTATGAAATTAAGTTATAAGTATGCTTATTTTACAATTTCTTTAAATTAAATAAACTGTAATTAGTTAATTAGTTAACTAAGAAAATGATTTAACCATTAGATCATTGCGTGGATCACTCACTAACTATTTAGTTTATTCACACATCTAATAAAAAAACTGAGTTTTACATATAATCTTCTTTTTTACACTGCATAAATTAATTAAGCTAATTTATATATCGTAAAATGACTACATTTTATCACCTAAAATTGGCAACGCATCTGCAATCTTACGGGTATTGCAAATGTTTTAAGGCGTTTATCACTTAAAATCCGGTGAGCCGTCAGCTCGTATGCCTTCTTACATAAAAAACCTACATCTACATCGTTCCTTATCATTAATTATAATAGACATAAAACACAAATTTCATCATTCCCTATACAGCATCATTCATGAAACGGAAAGCGTCTTTTCCCGTCGGTTGAATTTTTATGCAAGTCTGTATCGGTAGAACTTTCTAGCTAGAATTACAAAATGATGCTATTTGCTGTGTGCATCCTGACTCACGTATAAACTTTGATTTAATTCTTTTTTTAAATCTTTTTTATTTTAAATCTTATAAAACAATACTGGTATTTGATCAAAATATTTTATTCACACTAAGGAAAAGGGAAAAAAGTGATGGTCTCTCATTCATCGGTGGTAGGGCCACGCACCAGCCTCGGCTGTTGCATGAATGGGCAGGCCCGTCCGGGTAAGTACCACGAACTCACAGAAGACCAGCGTAAAGTGGAAGTATGACAAATACTTTTCGCGTTTCGTCTGGTGAGTGAGGTAGCCGGAGCCCAATTTTTAAAAGGTTGTCAAAGCATCTGCAACCCTCGGGTGTAGCAGATGTCCACGGGCGGTGGTATTCACTTAACATAAGATGAACCGTCCGCTCGTTTGGCAACTTTCAAAAGATTTTAACTCTTGTAATCATATGAATTCATTAATACAAAATACTATAATTTTGAACTAAGAGTGTTTACTGCGAAATAAATACTATGAAATACGTAAAATATTTTCATTTACAAGAAAAAGAAATAAAAAAATTTTAAAAATTGTTATATTGAAAAAAAAGAAGATTGAACAAATCTTGTACGGGATTCGCTCCATGTTCTTTATTTTCTATTATCTTATTTATCTTTATTATTCTCCATGTTATTATAATAACGTAGAATTTAAACAAATTAATGGAATAAAATTTTTGAAAGATTATGAAATTTTTTCTTCACAAAAGGGTCTTTTAAAGTTCACTTGTTTCTTATAAATTTAGCAGTTATTTAAAAACTGAATATTAACAATTGCAATAAGTAAAAAACCAAATATCCTTAACTTAATAATTGCCAAACGTTAGGTTATTAAAAAAAAACATTATTAAATTTGCTATTAGCATTATCCGAGTTAGGAGCCTGATAAACAGCACCGTTAACGATATACTCGTTTCATAATTACGGTCATTTCAGACTCATGTAATAGCAAATGCGATGCTGGGGGGTCTTTAAACAATATGACGATACTTGCTCAGCTATTTTTAGGGTTAATCAGCCTTTCATGGGCCGTCCTTTGTGGGAAAAAAGTTATAAATAGAATTGTGTGCTAATAGGCTAGTTATTGATGAGTTGGCAACTTCGTAAGAATTAATTCGAAATAAAATTTACTTTACCGGATACCAATTTCGTTGCTATAATTCATTTCGGTCTTTGATTACTTGTATGTTATTGACCAAATGAATTTCTGAGGAAATGGTTAGACGATGACAATAATCATTATAACCCGGGGTTATAAAGATAGTAGAACATGATAATTTATATACAGTTATAATGTCTAGTTTATTTTATAATGTTAAGCAATATTTTTAGTGGTTTTTACAAAACAGTTTTTTTACCAGTTATAATATATCAATATAATTAAAGTTATATAAAGTAAAGATTAACTAGTCATAATGTATTCCTTATTTAATCCAGTTATTAAATGATCCATGTTAAATGCAATTCAATTTTTTTGTTTATATATTTTAAGGCCAAAAGTATTGAAAACTATGAGTTTAAAAATACATAAAATTCTTATGACTACTAGAATCCTAATGTTTAATTGTAATAATCTCGCGACTAATAGTAGTCATATTACGTATGTTTTTAGTTTTAAGCGACATATTTATTAAAAAGTAAAAATTACTATTGAAACGAGACGAATACTCATCGAAACAAAGTCAAAATCTTACTTTGGGGAGCTTGTACGAACTTTGCAACTTGCTTCGCCCTAGGGACGTCTGTTGCGATTCGTAGTGGAACGCGATACGTGGGGAAGAACTTTCGACGCTACGATAAGTCTACGGAGCTACGCTGGGATGCATACCGGATGCGACCGCATGGGACGGTGCGTTCGCGGCGACTACTGCGGTGCTCGCTGCTTGGCCATCCGCTGTCGTCGTAGAAGCATCTCTTCGGCAGCGGATCTACGCATGCGCTTACAAGTCCCGCCCACGAAAACTTTTTATTCGCCCACAAAGTCTCCGCGCGTCTTTTCGCGGCAAACTCGGTTGCGCCCTCGGCCTAGCAGCGACAACTGATTTATGCGGCAGCATTAACAAGTTCACTATTAATGCCCATTCTCGTGTACTTTGAAAATTTGGAATTGATTTATCGCTGTTGTTTTCGATTGAATATAGTTGCCGTTTCATAATGTTAGAAATAAAGTTAAGCGAGAAAACGATATGGAGTTTGATCAAAACAAAAAGAGAAAAATTTAGAACAGAAACATTTATTATTACAATATTTTTTTTATTTGCACGTGTAAACTTACTTAGAGAAAATACATAGTCGAAAATACAGAGTTTGAGGTACATAATCATATCTGTAAATTTTGCTTAAGAATAAAAACTCACGCAATATGTATTACAGAATTATCCATGCCCGTTAGCTACAGTGCTACTTATAAAATTCTCCAACTGATACTTTTTTGTTCTGGTTTTGTTTTATCTTTTTACATGGAAGAGCAGAAACGCAAACCAAGAAACATTTTGTATTTGATATTGAGGATATCCCTGAAATACCAGGAAAGCGGAAAAGTACCGGGGCCTCAGAGAAGATAAGCGTGAAGTTGAATTATCATACTTATTCTATTTTTTTTATTTGCACGTGTAAACTTACTTAGAGGAAATCAGAGCCCGCTGTTTTTTTCAAGGTTGGCAACGCACCTGCAACCGCTCAAATGTTGCATCCATGGACATCGGTTAATCACTTACCGTCAGGTCATACGTCAAAATTGTGGTAAGCGAGTTGGAGAGTGATCTCCAACTCGCTTACCACAAGTTTTATAAGATAACATCAATGCTGACAGTGGTAGTAAGCCTTGCGCGATTCACTTGGCATAATTGGAATCAAAAGATTTCTGGCCATTAAATTCGAAGAATCTAAGCGCATTGGTGCACCTATTGAGATTTCAATACGTTACCTTAAACCTTTAATATATTTTAACGATTTAAATATTATACAAATAGCAGCAATATGTAACATAACGATGTCATGTTTAGTTATAAACAGTTATAGCATTTAACGTAGACACGTTAAATGCTATAACTGTTTAAATAAAGCGCCAACGACCCTCAGCTATTTCCCGAGGCTAAGCTCCGAGCTTGGCATACGTGTAACTTTATCGCATAACACGCGGTGTCTATAAATATATGTTATCAACCTATAGCATAACAAAGTGACATGATTATCGTTTGAAAATCTTCCCTTTAGAATCTTCGTATGTAATGTCGTAAAACACCATATAGTGATAAAGTCGATAACGGGAAATTTAGAAATAGATATATAGATATACCACTTCAATTTCCTGTGATGCGATCTGACATTATGGCTCATGACCTCAAAATAGAAATTTAATAGTCTTTTATATACACACAATTGTATCAACAAGGGTACAGAGATATTTAGGGTAATATTAGAAACTATAATTATTTCGATTCAATTCTGTTTAATAGTTATAACACATTAACTATTCATTCTTTTGCATACTGCTTTACTTTCTCACCATTTAGTAAATACTAGAACATCTAACTAACGAATAAAAACTTACTAATGAAATTTATGATGATGGTTCAAATCGAAATTTAAAATGCAATATAGCGACTTTTAATTTTTTTTTAATGAGAACCAATTATACATTAATTTTTGTTCGATCAATTCAAAACTAAAAGAAATCTCCATAAATCTGTTGAGCAAAATAAAACAATGTAACAAAATTTAATCTTAGTTTTTATGTCCCGACATATGTGCATAACGTGTGGTCGCATTAATGAAATGCTGACCTCTTTCAAAGCTCATGATTGTTGAGCAGATGTAACGACTGAGTTTATAATGAGCCCGCCATTTTTACGTTTACATCGCACTGAAAAAATTATGATTTTAGTGGTATATTCGCGCTATTCGCCTTATTTTACAACAATGTTTTAACAAAAAATAACAAATAATTAATAAAAATGGGGGAGTAAATAAGTGGCCACATACAAAGCAGATTAATCATGCTTATAGGAGACTTTAATTCACCCGAGATTCTTCCCAGACAATATTTCATTAAACATCTTTTGAGGGCACATAAAGAAAGATACTTAAATTTTCCAGGCATACTTCATTCCATACTGATTTGTGGTTAAAATTGAAAACATAGTGATAAATTAAAAAACAAATCTTAACGAGTTCAGATCAATTGTTTAATGTGAACAATTATCAGTTTTTCCCTATCGCAGTAAGAAAAAAGATTAATAAAATAACAAGTAACTTTTTCATAAAATACTAATTTGGAACATTTTACAAAAGATTTCTTAACTTTAGTTTTAGTTTAGTTATATATTATTATACTGCTATATACAAGAATATATATCTACACAAAGATAATTCATTGCATGTTCATGAAGATTCTCAGAAGTCGCCTGTGATAACGTAGTCTTAACTTCATGTCTAGATTTTTTTTTATGAGAGAAAGTGGCAAACTAGCTGGCGGTCCACCTGATTTTAAGTGATAACCGCCTGCCCATGGACAATTGCAACACCCGTAGGGTTGCAGATGCGTTGCCACCTCTTAATAATTTGGGCCCCGGCTACCTCACTGACCAGACGAAACGCAGAAGTGCAACACTTCTACTTTACGCCGGTCTTTTGTGAGGTCGTGGTACTAACCCGGACGGACGAATGCCCATTCGTGCAACAGCGAACACTGTTGCGTGGTCCTACCACCGTAGATTTTGATCTCTGGATCCATTTTCAATAATCGCTCAATATAATTGTCTTTCTATTGGCAGCCATAGCTGGTAGGTTGTGTTATATCTAGAACCACCCTCTCGTCTAAACCTATGGCCAGCTATGGGGTTCATCCTCATCAGTCGTGGATTCGATTACCACATGTCTTCAATTGCCCTAATTTTATGTATGAAACTTGCTTACAACACTGAATAATGTCATTCTATAAAAAGGCAATGTTTAAAAAAAGAATGAAAGTGAATGCTAATAGTTTCCTCACGTTGGGCTATAATAAATCTTCATACTAAATGATGAAATCTGATGAAACTTAATGGTTAATTATTTTTCTAAAGATGGATTAATTAGACAGATTTTGTTATTTTATTCTTTGTCACATTTTTATTAATACAAACTGTTATAATTATGGAAATAATTAAAACCATAATTATTATATAATACACTTTATCAAAGAATATACTCACCTGCTAAAAATCACTGCTAAAAGTGATTTAACACTATTCATTCAAAGTAAATGAAACTTTGATAGCATGTTGTAAATAAAAAATCATCTCACGTTTTCGCCAATAAAACTGGAGCATGAGTATCGTAAAAGTTAAGACTACTCAAAATTTACAAAGGTTTGTAAAGAATAGTATATTCCTGAGTAAACTTATTCAAACACCTACAAAAATTTTCTTCGCTTTTTCCGTGTAACTTGAATCACAAATAGTTAAAAAAAATGTAACCAAAAAAAAAACCGATTTCAAATATTTTCTCTGTACATTTTCTATTTAATTTTGAGGAGTACCCTTATATATCTACTGTCCAAAGTCCAATGCTAATTAAATTGGGATCACACCGAACCCAAAGCAAAAATATTTTTTGTGTCCTGAGATAAACAAAAAAAACCAGCTGACTTGACTCTTTTTAAGTCGTTTCAAAAGTAAAGACCGTTTCTCGTCTTTTTTGAAAATACTCTACCAAAATTCCTAATTTCTATTTCGGTAGTGCGAGCTAACAATTTTTTACTTCTTCGATCGAGCTAGTATATCTTTGGAACTGGATCAGTAATATTAAATATAGAAAAAAGAAAACAAGATCGCAGGTCTAATTTATATTATTTAAAAAATAAGCCTATATTGAATGAAAAAAATTTGACTTAGATTTTTAATTTGAACAGATGCTATTCTCTAGATAGCGAAACAGAAAATTTGCTGTAAATTGGGCCTATAGTAAGCTATTCTAAAATAAATTAGGGATAAATTACTAGCAATAGTTAACTAGATTATGCATCCGTGATAGGAGATTAGGGTGCATCGTACCAGAAAGATGCTTCCATTTGATGGAGAATATATGAAATAAATTTCTAAAACTAAAAGACAGATTTAAAAATGTGCATATAACAAATAATTATATATACACATAACGTCGAATATTGTAAATAATGTAGGTATATAAACATAACACCAAAATATTAGGTTGGGGAAAAGTTTCTTCGCATTTTATATGAATATTCAAAACATTTTTTAATAAAGTTTATTTACATTTAACTAAAGTACGTAGGTGTAATTTTGTTCGACAACTTTCTGCCATATTGTAGGTAGGGACATGATTGCTATAGAAATTTTGGGACTTCTGATCAAAAAACCGCAACCAGTGGTTTTGGCAGTCCTCTCGTGATGTTAACCTGACACTACCTAAAGAATTCTGAAGAGACAGAAACAAGTAGAAATTTGAATCATAATATATAATGCAACAGTTATGCTACTCTGAATCTTAATAATATGATGTTAATAAAATCCCCATAAAAAGCATTAGGTTTACATATGCATTTATCAGTTATGTTATGTTCATTCATGTGTCAGTGTAAAGTTTTTATGTTAAACCATAACACCCACAATATTAGATAAAACCGAATGTTTAGTGACTATCACTCGACGTTACGTATTTACGGCCATAACAAAATTGTTCACGATAAAAGGTCCGCCGCCTATCGTATGCATTCGCTTCTCATTCAAATTTTAACAGCGGATATTTTAAATTTTCTGCTCACTAAAATAAGATAAAACTATTTAACTAAATACTTCGTATTGTTTAACCGTATATTAACTAAACGGTCATTTGAAAAAAAAAATAATCCAAAATATGGAATATATTTAAATTAGTGCCGAAATATGCAGGTGAAAAATGTCAATAGTCTGATATATGTAAATAATCTTGTATTCTGCCAGCGCCAATTATTCAGTTCTATATAATAAAGGTAATTTTTAAGAGAAGATTAACAAGGTTTCTATAGTTCTTTTATATGTGAAAAGTTGGCAAGGGAGCAGGCAGTTTACTAGATTTCAAGTGATTATCGCCGTCAATGGACATCAATAATTCCTGAGAGACTGCAGATGCTTTGACAACTATTAAAAAGTATACTCACCAGACGAAACACGAAATTATGGCACTTTCATTTCACGCTGGTCTTCTGTTAGACCGTGGTACTTCCCAATGCCCATTCGCGCTAAAACAGAATCTGCTGCGTGGGCCTGACAAGTTTGCGATCAACAAGATCACAATCTCTTACTATGAGGTAGGGTGGTCAAAAATTGCCTTGGGATTTAGAAGCTAAGATCCTCGCGTCATTGCACTCCTGGCGCGAGGCTGCAAAATCCTAGGGCCACATGCCGGCCCCGGAGGAGTTGGAGGAGCGCAGGCGTCGCCTGCGCTCAAACGCCATCGATGAGTGGGAGCAGAGGCTGGAGCACCCCAGTGCCGGCCTAAGAACCGTAGAGGCCATACGTCCTGTCCTCAGGAGGTGGATGGATAGGCGACACGGCACCCTTACCTACCGTGAAACGCAGGTCCTCTCGGGACATGGTTGTTTCGGGAGGTACCTGTTTTGCGTGGCGAGGAGGGAGCCCACAGCGGAATGCCACCACTGTGACGTATGTGCCGAGGAGACGGCCCAACACGCACTGGAGGAGTGCTCAGCCTGGACGGA